AACTTGGATTTGAGTTGAGTTGCAAGCTACCATATCTCCGAGTTTGAGTTGGGTGCACAGCGCCAAGTTATTCTCATCTGTTGCATGCATGTTTGAGTGTGAATTTGCAAGACTGATTTCATAACTGCCGATAGATGATCAAGAAAGAGTTTGAATTGTGTTGGATGTAAGGGTGTTCCCCCCTTTTAAATTAAAAAGACTTTAAAAGAGGGAAACAAAACTTAAAAAAAGGCTTTTGAAGCATTGAACCAGCAGTGCGTCTGAGACTCTTTTTTCTCCCAACCTGGATTGTGCGGCAGGCCAAAAAAAGAAGAGTCGGTGTGGGAGCGAAATATTTTCCTCTTTGAAATGTGGAAGTTTTTCCTGGTGCCGCCGGCCATCTTAGTACATGGTAGAGAGTGCCCCTGTTAACGTGGCAGTTAACCGCTGCGCTGGAGCAAATAGCTGGGAAAGGGGCTGGCGATCTTAAGCTGTCAGTACTTCTTACAGAATGAGAATATTTGAGTTCTGAAGCATCTGACTGATGGAGATGAAAATAGCTGGGACACGGCCTCAATTTCTGGGAAAAAAACTTACAGAATCAATCAATTGTACATCGATTGAACCGTAACCTGAACCGACACAGATGAACATAGCCAGGAAAGGGGCTGGTGGTTTAAGCTGTCAGTACTTGTTGTTAAGTTTTAACAGAATGAGAATATCAGAGTTCTGAAGCATCTGAGTGAAGGGCATGAAAGTGCATGAAACTTATGCTGGCCAGTGTTTTTTTTTTTTTTCACACTGGGAACTGTGGTGCGCAGGTATGAGTGCCCCACTCACTTTAACCCTGCCGAGTTCTTTTCAGACTTGATCTCTGTCGACTACAGCAGCCCTGCAAAGGAGGAGGAAAGTAAGAAACGGTTGCAAAAGCTTGTTGCGGCTTTCCGTGCACAAGGATGCAGCTATGTGGAGCCCTCATCTTCTCGGACAGAAAACCCGTACACTGTAACCGGCGGCAAAAGGAATGGGAATGGCAATGGAAATGGTCTTGCGCTCACTAGGGATCTTGAATCACCAGGACGGAACGAACCTGGAAGCAGCTGGTGGGTGCAGTTCAAGCTACTGATGATCAGGTCCTGGCGGCAGGTACGGCAAACAGACCTACTGTAAGCGGTTACTAAGTGGCTGATAACAGTCCTCTGCCCTTGATGTTTTTCTTTTGTGTGCTCACCTGGGGTGGGTAAAAGCATACTTGCGGTGCGCCTTATGTGCACACAGCGCACAGTGCACGCACCCCCCCGCAAACAGAGGCATGGAAAAAATGGGGAGGGGTGAGGTGGGGTGGCATCCCCCCCCACAAACTTGTAAAAATACGGGTTAATACCTTTCTCGGCCTTTTAGCTAAGATCAAGTGTAGTATCTGTTCTGGTCAATTTAATATCTGATCCGTGGTCCATCGGGCCACATTATATTAAATTAAAAATATATATATTTAATATTATTTATATATGGTTCAGCCTCCTGATGAGTCGGTGAAGCTCCGACGAAACAGTTTGTCACAGCCCCTCGTTTGTTGTCCTCTTCTCTCTCTCTGCCTACGGTTTACCGGGCAGTTCTGTTTGTGACGATATATGGGTTAAAAACAAAGAAAACGGGGGCCTCGCCCGACAGCGGCTCCCGAGGATTTTTTTTTTTTTGTGTGTGTGTGGGAGGATCTGGGTCCTCGGCAGGCCTAAGGGGCCTCTTGCTGCAGATGTGCCCGCCCTAAGTGAAGGTGGGCCTAACAAATCACGTGAGGCCCTAGGCTCTCAATTTTGTATTTGGGGTCCAGGCAGTTTCGTCGCGCCAGTTGGTTGAGGGAAATACAGGCCGGGCAACAAAGACATTCCACGGCCTTCTGGGCCTTTCCAAGAATGCAGGCCCTGGGTGAGAATTGCAGGCTCATACATGGACAGTTGGGAGGCCCAACCGAACGAGGCCCAGTAGCTGCAACATAAGCGCAGCATCCTGGGCCCTACCGGAAGCTTCTGGGCCCAGGGCAGTCCAGCCAGGCTGCGAAGGCAGGAGGCTCTTTCCATATAGGAAAGAGCTCACCACCAGCAGCCTCA